CTATAAAAATCGTCCAGCATTGAGCGTGTATTAATGAAACATTGATGACAGAATCGTTTCAAGGTTCCAGTCGCATTTCGCTGGCATAGGTATCTTAAAAGGCGAATGAGAGCGGCATCTAAGGAAGATAAGGGAGATCTTTGTGCGAATGTTAGATTATACGCATCGTGCAGGCATAGTTTATTTATTTCACAATCGTTTGCCTCTTGTCTTGTGAGACATGCACGATAAATCTGTCGACGCGAACAGAGGTTTGTACAGAACTACTATACTTAAATAGTAGGCTCGCGATTTCGAAAAGCTGTTTCTACTTGACGTCTCAATCCTTGGAAAGCTGTCTGTCGATCTGTTGACCGATTTCCTTTGACACTGATTGCGTTAATTCGTAATGTTGACCTTTTGTATGGTACAAATTGTACAAATTGTCACGTGTGTACCGATTATTATTAATATTATTAATATTTATATTTCATTTATAATGTTTATAATATTTGTATTTATATTTATTATTATTATTAATATTATTAAGTTATTAAACCGGTCATTAGATTCCTTGAAGATTATATATTTAAATTATGCTGTTCCGTTCGTAAACTTCGTGGCACAAATTTTTTTTTTCTTGACGTAAATTTTCCTAGTTTTCCAAAGGAAACTTTATTTTAGTTCTCCCTATGAACATTTTTTTTCATGGCTAGATCCACTATGACCTTAGAGATTAATGTTTTTCCTTTACATTTACTATACGATTTTTTTTTCATCGTTTCATTAAATTTTATACTAAATTCATTAAATTTAAATACTAAAATTGGACGAAATTTTAGTATTTGTTGAATTTTCGTTGTTTAACGAAAAATTTCAATTATTAAGATCACTGTGGATTTAGGTTACGAAAAAAATTATCAATGTTTTCAGAAATGTTTAAATTTTGACAATTTTCAAGAACGAAAGTATTCTTACACGAGGTAAAAATATTTAAAAAAAAAAAAGAAAAATTGAGTTCAGGACAGTTAAAGTAGTTTAAAACGAGATCATTGTCATACTTTATTATATGAGTTATATGACTTGAGTTATAATATCAACAGTATTTCATCGTTGGTGTTATACAATAAAGTATACTTCGCGATAAATCTTCCTGTGAGTATCTTGAAACGAAAAGTTTTATTAAAGAACGATGATAAAATCTATTAAATAATTTTAAAATATAAAATATCTAATTTTAAGTTGAAAGAATGAAATAAAAAGAAAGAATTTTAGAATATAAAATATCTAATTTTAAGTTGAAAGAATGAAATAAAAAGAAAGAATTTTAGAATATAAAATATCTAATTTTAAGT